GTGCCAACTTTAGTTGCCGGGGCTGCAGGCCATGCGAGCTGCAATACTGCAAGCCATGAGCCCCCCCAGGCTGCTACTATGCACTGCTGCCTACTGATTCATTGTACATGCAGGCCCCCCCACCCCCCCCCGTTCCCTTTCATTGCTTTATGGTGCTTGGGTGACCACCCCACCCCTCCAGCACAAGTGCAAGTGGGCAGCCTTCCTCCCTCAGCTCACCTGCTGTAGGTACCCCCACTGCATCATGCTGTGGGCACTCTTTGCACCACAGGCTGCACTGCAGGGTCCCCTGGGGTAGGATCAGAAAGCAGAAGCCGGTGAGGAAGCCTGGAGAAATAGGGGCACTGTGGCTAGCTGGGAGCTCAGGGGCCACAGGTTATGCTGCTGACTCCCCACCCAGTGATTGCCCCATTTGCAACCTCCCCTTTTTGGGTAGTTGCCTGATAGCACCAGATGAATCTGGATGCCATGGCTTCCTGGGTCCTTGTCAGTCTGGGTTTCATTCTGGACATAAACATGGACACTATGCTCATGGCCTTGGTTGGTCGATGAGTTTTGCCTTGAGTTTGACAGGGGAGACTGCGGCCTGCTGCTCTGACTCAGTCTTTCAACAGCCTTTGATGCAGTTGACCATGAGGTGCTGATAAAGTGCTTACATAGCCTGGTGTGTATTCGTGAGACAGCTGTAAATTGATTCCTCTCTTTTTTGAGCAAGGAGGTTCATGAGGGTGGTGATGAGCAAGTGATCATCATCTACTTGGGACTCTTCCTGTGGGGTCCCCCAGGGGCTTCATCTTATCCCCTCTCATGCTCAGTGTGTATGAGGAGTGCCTGCCTGCAGTTGAGGACTGGATGTAGGTGAAGCAAGACAAGACAAGTCACGGTGGTGGGCAGACACAGGGAGGGAGGACAGGACTGGGACACTTTTCCTTGATGGGGTTCAACCTCCCTTTATCACTCAGGTTCATAATCTTGGAGTGACCCTTGATCCTTTGCTGCATCTGGATCTCCAGGTGGCAGCAGGGGCTAGGAGTGCCTTGTACCAACTTCATCTGGTGAGGAGGCTGCAGCCCTTTCTTTCACTCTTATCTGACCATCATCATCCATGCCTTTGTATTCTCAAAGCTAGACTACTGCCATACACTCTACACATGGCTGCCCTTGAAAACTGGAAGCTGCAGCTGGTACACCCAACTCAAGTCATCCAGCATCTGCACCGACTCCCAGCAGATTTCCAGACACTTCAAGGTTCTAGTTTTGACCTCTAAGGCCCTAAGCAGCCTGGGCCCTACATATCTAAGGGACCACTTTCTTTTATATGCCCATCTGCAATCCCTAGAATCAGCCACGAGCAAGCTCCAATAAGTACCATTAGTACGCCAAGTCTTCTTGGCAAAAATGTGTCAGAGAGAGGTCATTCTTAGTAGTAACTCCTCAACTCTGGAACTCCCTCCTTGAGGCTCACAAGAGCTTGAGCCTGGACATTTTTTGGAAGCGATGTAGGACCTTCCTATTTGAGCAGGCATTTAATAACTAAAACTAGGCTGACATGTTGTTTAGTGGGTGTCTGCTTTATTTTGTTTTATTTTGCTATTTTGTCTCATTTGTTTTAGTTGCCTCTTAAAGTTACTCTATTTCACTTACTATAAGTGACCCTGGGCCTTTGTTGGGAAGGCCAGCATATATATCCCAAATAAATACAAGATAGCTCTGTGCTATACTATCAAAACATCAGACATACTTACCTTTGTTACTTATGTATTCCATATTATCCTCTGAACTCTAGGATTCCCATATATTTAGTTAATTCAGTTAGTTTATTAGTGACCTAAATGAGGGCATCCAGTCATAATACAATTTTGAGCAATCTGGGTTTTTTTTAGGCCATTCTTTTGTGTGCTGTTTTAAAAAAGCAATTTAATTGGTTTTATCTTTAAAATAGTTATTGACATTAATTAAGGCCTGATCCTGCTTTCCCATTAGTCAGTGGCATTTTCATCATTAATTTTGATGGAATGGAGCTGGGACTCCAAGCTGGGTAGAATTAAGGGCAAGGGATGAGTACTTGCAAATCCAGTGCCGGTGAACACATTGTGTGCCAGGTGTACGCTATGTACGTATCGTTATATTACAGGAGTCACTCTGTTCCAAATCCAAGCTCCATGAACATTGACAGAGCATGAAAATTATAAACTTGGCAATGTCAAGTTACCACCAATGTTAAATTTCTGGCTGAAATAGTTCATTGTAAGAGGCCTTGTTTCCATCATTCATCTGATTAACAAACTGAAGCTACTGGTGGGAGGTGATTATGGAGAGGTGGCCCATTCCTCATACTTGTCCTTTAGTGAAATGGATTGCTTTTTCATGGCAAATATGTACCTTATTCTCTCTGGAAGGTCTTAAGGGCCTTCCTGTATTTTAGTCCAAGTTGCTTAGTGGTTAGGGCAGTCACCCAGGAATTGAAGAGACTCAGGTTTTAAGGTCTCCTCGTATAAAAGGGTTTTGAAACCTACAGTGGCGTAACTAGGGGTGTGTGACAGGCAACAGCTGACAGGAAGTGGGGTAAAAACAATTGCTTTTGCTGCTGTGGCATGATTGCAATAACAGCAGCAATGGCAACCAGAAGTTGCCTGGCTGCGTTATTACACTTTTGAAAGATGCATCTTTCCTGCTTCCTAGCAAGCCGCTTGAACCACTAGGACTCAGGCTAGGCATGATTATGGAGCTCTCGTCCTGAAGCTGAACTCCTGCACTTTGCATTTAATATCCTTAGGATAAAGTGGCTGGAAAGCAGTGGGGAAGTTTCTGCGCCATTGGCAGCAGGGGCCCAAGCTAGAATGCAGGGCCTGCTACCTCCCAGGGTAGCAGCCACCTCGTTGAGCCACACACCTTCTTTGGTCATTTTTCTCCCAGCCCCATGTATCTTCCTCTCTTGGTTGCTCAGGGGTCACTTTCAAGAGAAGTGCTGGAGAGGACGGGGCAGATGCAGGAGGGGGTGGAGGGGGGGCAGCTATACCTCATCCCCCTTCAGCTGTGTGATGCATGTTAGTGAGCCCTCTGAGCTCACCTTGTTGGCTCCAGCTGGATCCACTGCTTTTGCACAGCAGTGGAGCCCAGGGGGTGAATGCTGCTGCTGCTGCCTGTCCCTCCCTTGTCTCCTTCTCCCAGATTCAGTGGAAGGGGGGCAAAGAGGTGGGAGGAAACAACAGTGATATTCCCACCCCCCGTTCTGCTATTAGGCAAAGTAGCAGGAGCCCATGTTAACAAGCTGGTGAGCCCAGAGACCTCACTGTCCATGTGCCACACAGTTGACGAGGAGTATGGCCACAGCCCCTTGCCCCCCTTCCTGGATCCACTCATGAGAGAGGACATTGGGTAAAGCTTGAGTGCTGTGCTGTGCTGTTCTGGGATGCAGAAGAGATGTAGGTTCAACCCTGTTCTAGGTGATGGTGGTCCAGATCCTGGGCCTTCTATTTCCCGAGTGAGTGCTCCAGCAACTAGGCTATTGGGGTAAAACATGGCAGTTACCTCCTCCAGGCTATTTGGCTAAAACATGGTGTCTAACACCCACTAGTGTCTAACACCCACTGGGTTTTTGCCCAGCTACAATGTCAGGACTTCGGCTCACCCAGGTACATGTGCACTGACCAACAGAACTGCTTGTATATCCATGGAATAGCATCCCAAACTGTGCTAAAACCGGTACGTACGCTGTTGGGTAAATGCCATTTGTCATGTAAAGTGAAATAGGATCCTGCCCCTGGGGTCTAAATCTACCTTACCCTGAAGGGATACAAATCTATAACGTACCATTTTGCAGGAGAGTGTCCTAACTACCAAGCTATGGGCTAGGCTGAGTAGGGCCTTCCTCCTTTCCTGTTGAAGCTGGCCCAAAGAGAAGTTTTAAGTGCCAGTCATGGGCTCTGAAGGAGAGGAAGTGAATGAAGGAACAAACAGCAGAAACAGCCTTTTCAGGGTAACTTGGTATTGTCTTGAACCCGTTTCCATCCAGGGGTTTGGTGGATTAGTGTTTTATACAAATCAGTTTGCCCCTCCCTACTTGAATGTGCAATTCTGGCTAAATTGTATAGAGCTGGGTTTATGCAAACTGAAATTTGGAGCGATCCTATCAAAATTCATCAACCTTTTAAACTGTTAAAAGTGCCCATTGTTTCTTGTGACTATGTGTAGATGCTACTAAATGCATTGTAGTCTACTTCCTCTCTCTGTACTTCAGTAATGCTATTATGACTGAACACCTCTCACATATCACTGAATTTATCCTTAGAAAACTCTTGTAAGACAGTAAAGTACTATGCCAACTTATATATGGGGAGTTGATGCACAGAGAAATGTGTTTCCTCAGGTCATGTAAGGAGTCGATACCAAGGCTTAGTTAAAGCTAAATATAACATTTAGCTGTTTCTGCCTATGAATAAATACTGCTTTGTCTTCTGCCTAGGATCTTGTTAGCCAGCCTGCTACTTGTCATGGATTGCTGCCGATTCATTCCTCTTTTTAGTACAGGAATGTTCTCAACATGTTACCATATTTAACCCCAAATGGGGGAAACGTAAGTGAACAGTGCTTGAGAATGCTAGAGGGGGTCTTTGGAAACAAGGAAGGAGGTAATTCAGCTGAAAGATGCAATGGCATTGTGGGGGGCGGCGGTAGGAACGGGACATGTCAAATTTGTAAATTTGCTTGAATAAAATAGTTTATTCCTGCTAGCTGACTGGTTATATCAATCATACCTTGCTGATAGTTCATAACTCATAATGGATCTGGAAATGGAAAATGATGTATGGACGTGATACTTTGAAGAATAGGTGGCAGACATGTTCATGAAGGTAGCCTTTTTTCTCCACAACGTTGGGGATGGGTACACTAATTTAGATAAACCAAGCAAAATTTAAGTAGCATTAGGTTCTTCCAGAGCTTCCGTGAGGGTCAAACACTCTTT